ACTAACCAATGAACCCAGTCTATGAGTTCCTCTACACATCGATTGGCCAGGCCATCGCTGCCTACGCGCCTAACGAGTACTTCGCCGCCATCATGAACCCCATTCTCATCGGCGCCGGCATGATCAGTTTCTGCGGTGTCGTCGTGCCCTACGACCAGATCACGCCCTTCTGGCGCTACTGGATCTACTACCTGGACCCCTTCACCTATCTCGTCGGTGGCCTTCTGGGTGAAGTGCTCTGGGACGTGAAAGTTCAATGCAAGGCGTCGGAATTCGTCCAGTTCAGCGCCCCGTCCGGTCAGACCTGCGGTCAGTACATGGCGGACTTCATTGCGAACAACACGGGCTACCTGCTGGACGCGAGCGCGACAGGCTCGTGCTCCTTCTGCCAGTATTCGACTGGAGCGGACTACGCCAAGTCGTTCAACTTAAAGGAGAAGTACTATTCCTGGAGAGATGTGAGTTTCTGTCTGTCCTAAGCTTGAAGATGAAACATTGACTGACCTTGTTCTTGTAGACTGGGATTACGGCGCTATTTTGTATCACGTCGTATGGGTTGGTGTTTCTGATGATGAAGTTGAGGAGTAAGAAGACGAAGAGTGCGCGGTCGGAGTGATTTTTTTTCGATATTTCGGAGAGATGCAGGTTAGAGACTGCAGGGGTTGTTGTGGATCTACTTATGGGATTTGGAATGTTTGGTTGGAGATAATAATGGCTGGTGGAGGAGCGAGAAGGTGAAGAGTGCTAGGCGGGAGTGACACATTCAAGGTCATGCTTGATTCTGTTTTGAGTTATAAATGTTTCCTTGGAAATAATTGTGGTCGGTTGAGATGAAGGCCAATTATATATAGACTAGATATAGACTTTTTTTCAAGAAGCTTAATAAAGCTCGTTCGATTCATTTTGAGCTCTGTTTGTGACTTGGAGAAGCATTTGTACTTTCAGTCAATATGTTAGGATATGTGTTGACTGTTGAACATAATAACTTTCAGAGGGAGTTTCCTATCATTTGTGATAGACGAGATGTGGCGACAGGAGTTCGTAGGGTTAGATTGCGCTAGGCAGCAGAGGTTGATGCCCGACATTTCAGGCTCCGGGCGGCAGGCTTCCCTTCCACCTTCCATCTCAATCTCCTTCTCAACCTCTTCCTCAACCTCTGTCTTTCGTCTATGTATGCGCGATTTCTTCACAGTCGGCATCTAGGATACACAACTCCGAGCGCCACATAGAACACAACGGACCAAATCCAGTATATGGAATCACTCGCGTACCATTGCGGGGACCACGTGGTTGGCCTGGCTAAACGGGGTTGCATACGGCAATTACGCTGCAGCGCCTGGGGATGTCACAGCCCATGCAAGCCTCTTCAGGCCGGTACTTCATTGTGACCAAGGAGCGAGCAAACTGCAGAAACTGGGGCATGGGGAAAATCAGCCCATGCCTCGGCTATTCTCGCCCCATGCGTTGCCAATCTGGGGACGGTTCTTCCCCATACGGCCAAGCTGACGCCCACGTGAGTGCAATTAGCCGGCGGCGGACTGCCGTTCCTGTCAAGGAACTAATCCCTTCATTTCGGACTCACGTCGCCTCTGCTCTTGGTATACCACGCGGAGGTGGCTAATTGTGAAGAGCCCCTACGAGATTGCTGTCGGGATGCGGTCCGGAAAGCCGTCGTGCTCATCTGAGCTCGAGGAAACAGCTTCACGATCTTTCTTGTCTATAGATCTGTATAGACAGCAGAACTACATGAGCGATCAAGAAGATATAAAAGGCGATGCCATTCCCACGGTTTATTGTCGCCATCATCAGCTTCGATCATCATCTTCCTTCAGCTTCAAGCTTCAATCGTCCCTCGATCAGTTGGCAACCATGGTTGACTCTTTCTCCATCTACAAAACAGCTCTCCTGCTGTCCATGCTGGCCACCAGCAATGCGCAGCAGGTCGGCACTTACACCGCTGAAACGCACCCCAGCCTGACCTGGCAAACCTGCAGCGGCAGTGGTAGCTGCACTACCACCAGCGGCAGCGTGGTCATTGACGCCAATTGGCGCTGGGTGCACGAGGTTGGTGGCTACACCAACTGCTATAGCGGCAACACTTGGGACAGTTCGATCTGCTCCACCGATACCACCTGCGCGTCCGAATGTGCCCTCGAGGGTGCCACTTACGAGAGCACCTATGGTGTGACCACCAGCGGCTCGTCGCTCCGTCTCAACTTCGTTACTACCGCGTCGCAGAAGAACATTGGCTCGCGTCTGTATCTTCTCGCTGACGACAGCACCTACGAGACTTTCAAGCTTCTCAACCGCGAGTTCACCTTCGATGTCGATGTCTCGAACCTTCCCTGTGGATTGAACGGCGCCCTCTACTTCGTCTCTATGGACGCTGACGGTGGTGTTTCCCGCTTCCCCACGAACAAGGCTGGCGCCAAATACGGAACCGGATATTGCGACTCCCAATGTCCTCGGGATCTTAAGTTCATCGATGGTCAGGCCAACATTGAGGGCTGGGAGCCATCCTCGACCGATGTCAATGCGGGTACTGGTAACCACGGCTCCTGCTGTCCTGAGATGGATATCTGGGAGGCGAACAGCATCTCCAGTGCCTTCACAGCCCACCCTTGCGACTCGGTCCAGCAAACCATGTGCACAGGCGATACTTGCGGTGGCACTTACAGCGACACTACCGACCGTTACTCTGGTACTTGCGATCCTGATGGATGCGATTTCAACCCTTACCGCTTGGGCAACACCAACTTCTATGGTCCCGGAAAGACCGTCGACACCAGCAAGCCCTTCACGGTTGTGACGCAGTTCATTACCAATGATGGCACTGACACGGGTACCCTGACTGAGATCCGTCGTCTCTACGTGCAGAACGGTGTCGTGATTGGCAACGGCCCCTCGACCTACACTGCCGCGAGCGGCAACTCGATCACCGAGAGCTTCTGCAAGGCCGAGAAGACCTTGTTCGGCGACACCAACGTCTTCGACACCCACGGTGGACTGTCTGCCATGGGTGACGCCCTCGGCGACGGCATGGTCCTGGTGCTCAGTCTGTGGGACGACCACGCCGCTGACATGCTCTGGCTCGACAGCGACTACCCCACCACCAGCTCGGCTTCCAGCCCTGGTGTCGCCCGCGGTACCTGCCCCACCACTACCGGAAATGCCACCTACGTTGAGGCCAACTACCCGAACTCGTATGTCACCTACTCCAACATCAAGTTCGGCACCCTCAACTCGACCTACTCCGGCACCTCCTCCGGCGGCTCCAGCTCCAGCAGCACCACCTTGACTACCAAGGCCTCGACCAGCACCACTAGCTCCAAGACCACTACCACCACTTCCAAGACGTCCACCACCTCGAGCTCGTCCACGAATGTTGCCCAGCTCTACGGACAATGCGGTGGACAGGGATGGACTGGTCCCACCACCTGCGCCAGCGGCACTTGCACCAAGCAGAATGACTACTACTCGCAGTGCTTGTAGGCGGAGAAATGACTGTTGAAGCGATCTTGATGAGCAGGCAGGAGAGATCGACGAGGAATGAGTGAGATGGGAGAAAGTATGATGGCAATTTGTTACTTCCGGTAGGATCTCCAAGCTTAGGACTAGTCTAGCAAATGAAAGGCTGTTTTTTTTTTCTTATCACTGAACATGTATGAGACGAGGAGTACCGGTAACCAGTAAGGTAGTCAGCCTGTAGCTCGAAAGTTCAAGAACAAAGTTATGCAGGATTGCAGGGTTGCAGAAGTGCAGAAGTGCAGAAGTGCAGAAGAGCCGCCGAAGAAACTCAACCCCGCACGGTCATGTGCTCCTCACCTGATCCCTGATCCTCCCCCCCCCACTAATCGCGCTGATCGATCGATCTCTCTTCTCTAACTTTCCATCCAAATCTTGTGCACGTTCGCCTTCATTTTTACTGTTTCGAGGTGGTCAGTGAGATGGCTTGATATTGACAACTCTACGTCTTCCTTCTCCATTCCACCTGTCCCATATATTATCCCAGCTGGCGCAATGAAAGGCCTTTGCGAAATGAACTGAAATCCTCAATAGTGTGGGTCCTATGCTCGAATGAAACCAAAATTTCATTGAGGTTTTCATACATCCGGTGCACTATACCAGTAACAAAGTCCCAGTCCCTTGATTTCCGCTGGGATTTGAGGCAAGCGCCACAGCACCTGGTCCAATATATCAGTAGCGAAGTCCTAGTCCCTCAATTTCCGCAAGGATTTCACCCAAGCGCCACGATCCCATCCCCTCGAACAATGGAATAGTGCCGATAATTCCTCAGGGGCACCTGACCACACACCACGCCACCGACGTTTCGGCAGTCATCAAACCATGCTAATAACCAACGCCAAGCGCGTGCATTAGCGCCGGTGGGTTTTTTGCCGGGAAAAGGAACAATGCCCTGGAATATGCAGCGCCAAGCAACGTGGGTGGACGGGATATTCTCCGCATCACGAATTTTTGTTGGGCCTTCTTGTACAATCTTAACAAGCTTGGGTTGGCACGGATGCAGTGGCCTCCCCTCTCGTCCCTATATCACTCACCACTAAGCGAGGTCAGACGAACTGCAGTCCTGGTCTGGCCCCTCGCACCATTCCGGATCGGCAAAGGCATGCCTAATCCGTCGCTGTTCTGCAGTGGGGCTCAGGCACCACGGGGAAATGATGGTCTGTGCGGGACAAGAAATTGCCGTGACGGATTTGTCTCCGCGTTATTTCGGATCTGGGGTCTGGGGTCGCTGTCACTGCTTCCTCCATGCTGTGTGTGTGTGTGTGTGTGTGTGTGTCATCGACAGCGGCTGACGGCCCGAGAGTCCGTCTTCGCGAGCAACGGAGTCGATGTCGCTCGTCCTTGTCGTTGTATGTCAGGGATTGATCTCGGCAAGATGGCTCCTGTCTGTAAGGTATAAGTTGAGGTGGTGAAGCTCGATGGGAATGGAGGAAGGACTGTAGCAATCCAGCATCAGCGTCGTTGTTTTGGACACTATGAAGTTCACCGTTTTGGCACTGCTTCTCTCTCAAGTGTGGGCGGCCCCTCAGGCCAAACGCTCCTCCAATTTTCTCTGTAAGGGCCGCCGTCCATCATTCAGCTTTCAAGTCGCCAGAGACCTATACTGACTGCAGGTAGGGCTTGGAAGCAATGAGTCCGGCGCAGAGTTTGGCCAGGCCAACATCCCCGGTGTATTGGGGACTGACTACATCTGGCCTGATGCGAGTAAGATCCAGGTCTTGGTGAATGCGGGCATGAATATCTTCCGCGTTCCGTTCATGATGGAGCGCCTGATTCCGACTTCCTTGACCGGGGCGGCGGATGCCACTTACCTGGCGGATCTCAAGGCTGTAGGTCTTGGTATTGTGGTTGAATCATCGACTTCATACTAATCGTCGTGATCAGACTATCGAGTCTATCACCAGCCTCGGAGCCTATGCGGTCGTTGACCCCCATAACTTTGGACGATAGTAAGCAAGCTTTATCCCGATTCTCTCAGGAATTCTAACTTAGATGTGCTTGTGTTAGCTATGGAAACATTATCACGTCTACGTCCGATTTTGCCGCATTCTGGACCACTGTTGCTAAGGTGTTCGCGTCAAACGACCATGTCATTTTCGACACCAGTACGTCTCCTTTTGTCCCTCTGCACATTACCGGACTAACAAAGATCACGCAGACAATGAGTACCACGATGAAGACCAAACTCTTGTCTTCGACCTCAACCAGGCAGCGATCACTGCCATTCGTGCTGCCGGCGCGACCAGCCAGTACATCTTCGTGGAGGGCAACTCCTACAGCGGCGCCTGGACCTGGACAACCTACAACACCAACCTCGTCAACCTGACTGACCCCTCGGACAAGATCATCTACGAGATGCACCAGTACCTCGACAGCGATGGCTCCGGCACGAGTTCTGACTGCGTGAGCACCACGATCGGCGCCGAGCGCGTCGCCGCCGCCACCACCTGGCTGCGCCAGAACGGCAAGCGCGCGGTCCTGGGCGAGTTCGCCGGCGGCGCCAACAGCCAGTGTCTGACGGCCGTGACAGGGATGCTGGACGCGCTCAGCGCCGCCAGCGACGTGTGGCTGGGCGCGCTGTGGTGGTCGGCCGGACCCTGGTGGGGCACCTATATCTTCAACATGGAGCCGACGACCGGCACCGCCTACACCTACTATCTGTCCCTGCTGCAGAGCTATGTGCCCGGTGGTTCGTCGGGAACCACGACCACGACTGCCGTGGCCACCACCACTACCAGCAAGGCCTCCACGACGAGCACTACCACTACCAAGACCACCACCACTAGCACCAAGACGACTACCACCGCTACCTCCACCTCCACTGCCGTGGCGCCTCTTTACGGCCAGTGCGGTGGTATCGGATGGACTGGGGCGACGACATGCGCTAGTGGCTCTACTTGCACTAAGCAGAATGACTATTACTCACAGTGCCTGTAGGCGGGGAGATGACCGTTGGGGATATGTCCATTGGCTCTTTCGCTCAGAATTCTTGATATGCCGTCTACTATACTGATAGTCTTTTGAGAATGTGAGAGACTTGGGAAATTCGACCCCTTTGGACCTCTTCAGTTCGAAGCCGTAAAGGTGGCTTGTGTGGTGTGACAAGAGGTTTTATGTATCCCTGTAGACATCTCCTGAAGTACTATACAAAACCATTCAAGTATTGCACTAGACCGAATGGAATAGGCCAGCTTGGTGGAAAGTCTCGTTTCTTTCGAACGAAATGGATAAATTCATGATTGAGTGTGAAAAAGGTGTGGAGCAACCGGGCAACAAGATTGCTGACTTGAAAACCGCAAAAGGAGGTCTCCAAATATGATATTCATTCTTGCGAATGACAAGGACCTAGAGCAAATTCTGAAACAGTATGAAGGGAGTGTGGTGGGCAGAAAGGAGACAGCAAAGGGGAGAGAGAGAAAAGAACTTCCTCCCTGCCCATTCTACCAACCAAACTTGCCTTCGGAAAGCTTGAAATCGTGGAAAGAGACCGCAAGTCATTTGAAGATCATGAGAGCGAGTTCGATTAATGTTGCATGCGCAAAGACCACATCCCTCTCACGCGGCGCTACTGGCTGCCTGCCAATGACCCGGTTAAACTCCAGAACTACCGGTGGTCCCTGAACAGAGGGGGGTGTAGTTCCCACCTTGACCACCGTAGTGGTGATGCGTTGGGGAACAAAGCCAGGCCCGCCGGCGGCGACGCGCGCCCGAGTGCTTGGCTGGCGCTGCGGGAAATACTTTTCTATTGTGAGCGTCTGATCAGACCGTGAGACTTTCAGGAGCAAGACAAGCAATACCCTGCCGCCTGAATTCGCAATCCACCAGTTAACATCCTGGCGGAGTCGAGACAAGGACTCGGAGAGCCCGCTTTCTATCACAAAATGGGGCCAGTCGGTGCCGGTGGGTCTCAGCAGTCCATTCCTGTACGAAGAGTCTGCTTCCTTCCGAGACGCCGAGCGCGCCGTATATCGCCCGGCTCCGGTAGGTTCACGCTCCATGACGCGGACTCCCATATTCGTCAAAGCAGTCACGGTCTCCTCGGCAAAACTGCGGTGCGCCTTCTCATGGTGGAGAGTTGGAACCTTGATCAAAAGGGTCTCGATATCAGGAAAATAGGTGAGACGAACAGCCGCTCGCAACTGGTCGCGGCTTTCTTCCAACAGACGGAGATCATCGGCCGACACATGTTTGAATGAGATGTACTGATTGGCGTCGCGCTGCCTTAGCCGGTCCTGAAGAGCGGCGATCTCCCGATTCAGGTCTTGTAGTCCTCTGTAAGTCTGTGGTGGATACTGGCCTGTCATGGCCAGCACGGTCGATGGCGGGACGGGGTAGGAGGTGGTTCGCATGGTCTCGGTGCCAGATGAGCGTGAAGATGACAACTCCGTCATCGGCGTCGACTCGTCGTTGCCCGTTGTTGTCGAACGTGAAAGCATCTTGTCTCGAGCTATTGTAAGTTAGCAAGGTTCATCGTGACGTAAGTTTACCTCAAACCTTCGGAACAGAATAGTAGTGATAACGGGTTATGGAATGATTGGTAGGTTATTGGCGGTGTGTAACAGTCAAGTAGCCTGAAGATCTTGCTCGTTCACGATATCGGCCAGGAGCATGGATAGAAAGCAAAGAAAAGAGAGTAGATGATGTTCTGGTGGAGGAACTAGGATGTACATCCTCTGTAGACTTCGTTCAGGATGGCGACAAAATGAATGAGACTGACTCTGACCCAGTGAATTGTCCTGGATATAAAACTGTGAGTATTGCTTTGTAAAGATTTATCCACTGTAACTATATCAGTTCACTTGTATACTGTTGGTGTCCTCAGACCCTGAAGACACGTGATCTATAGCTATTCACTAAGCAGGTTAGCTATGTGTTAGGTCTAACACTAATCAGAAAATGAACATTGTTGCATACAGCTACAAACAGCATTATTTCAGCGGAGAATGCTAATCTCTAATCTTCCTCATTTCATGTGACCATATACTCCAGAATTGTTATCCTGCCAAGAAGTTCAATCCACCTTATTTCCCAAAGCCTCATTACCATTGTTCCATCACTTCCCACTTTCTATTCTTTTTATCTTCTCCGCATCCTCTCTTCACCTTGACGGCGCCTCCATGCTTTCCCCTGGAGGAAAACGAACCAGCATCAGCTGTTTCCGCATTAGGCCCCTCGCGCATTCTCTCTTGGGCATTTGACATGCAAAGCGTGGTCCACCTCGAAATTGAACTCGACGCCATGGCACATATGGCGCACCCTGGCCACCTCTGATGGCATCTGCTGACCTTGTAGCTGGTGCTGGCATCTCGACTACGATTCAACCCCAAACTATAAGAGACAAGGGGCCATGGCAACTCGTCCGCAAGCCAAGAGGATCAGCTCAAGAAGAGAATTGGATAGACCGGATTTGATGACTCTCCTCATGCGGACGCGTGCATAAAAGCCCTTGTGCTTGTGCCGCCGCGTTCAGCCATTGTTGCACATTAGGTCAGGCGTCTGGTAAGGCGACGCTGCCACAAGCCGGGTATCGAAACCCATGTCCTCTTTTTGTCTTTGAGATGCTAGTCCCGCACGTCTGGTCGTGTAGCGAAGCTACTAAGCTCTCAATGCATGCAGCCGCCACATCCATCTTCTTCACACCTCTTATTGAATTGCACCATGGCCATCAAAGGGGTGGATTGTCGGCCGGGCTACACATCCGAGAGATGCGCTCGCTCGGCGGCTGCAACCGAGCCCCGTCCACTTCCACTGCGGGAACTGCTTCCGAACCATGCCAAAGCATTCATATATAGTTCCAAAACGGATTCAGTTTGATTCAGTCTTCCAGGTCATTCTTAAGAAAGATCGAAGAAGCAGAAGTAAGTACCTTGACCGTACGTTTGGTTCAGAAAATTAGTTAATCGGTGAAAACACTAAATGGGCAGTGTCGAACAAGCTTGTCCCCCTCACCGTCATCAAAGGCGCCGGCCACGAGTTCATCCCTCTCCCCGCGGGCCAGAACGCCACGACAGCCGATTTCCACTCCATCCGCACCCAGACGGCCGACTCTCCCTCCTACTTCACTTCGGGATTCTACAAGATCGAGGCGGGCCCCCACCGACCCGCGCACTATGCTTTCGAGGAGACCAAGTATGTCTTGAGTGGGCAGATCGATGTTTTGGTATGTTGCCCTCTCCCCCTTCCCTCAACCGCCTCTCTTTTGCCCCGTTCCTGGGAGACAGTAGAAACTGACGATGATGGATGATTGATCCACAGGATGAGGCAACCGGAATCACCCACCATCTAGTCCCCGGTGACTTTGCATTCTTCCACGTCGGCTCCAAAGTTCAGGTAAGATAACAAACCCCTTAGGGTCATGGAAAGGACATTCCCGTCCGATAGAACAGCGGCACGAGCTGATCATCGTTTGTCTTCTTGGATTGTCCTTTAGTTCTCGACCAAGTCCCACGGATTTGCCTTTTATGCTGTCACTCGACCCGTTCGGTCCCCGCACCCTAACCTTGTCGGCCGAGAGGAGGATAAAGCCCGGCTGTGAGGAGAGACATATCAATAAGACCCTGTCTTGCAATCACCATATTTCAAGATTACAATCCATTTAACAACGCTATGCAGGGGTTGTGTCATGTGCAAATTTAAGAGAATATGGCGATTCACACTTGAACGGATCCTCTTAGTCTTTTCTGAGATTAGGCCGCGGGGAGCGACGGAGACCAGACGAAGCTAGAAGAGTCTTGCTGTGTGACGCAGGAGGTGGGGCCTGTTCGAGCGAGGGGCCACGACATGGTAAGGCTGTACGAGGAGGCGGGTCGAGTTTGATGACTCTACATTTAAGGACCCATGTAGCGCAGAAGGGCTTTTCTAGGGCCTGCATTTCTATAGTAAGATTCAATACTGACAAGCTGTTCTGACAAAAATCGCCTATACACAAAACATGAGAAGGGTCACAGAGGGTTAGGCAAGACAAACATAATACTTCAAGTGGATACCTTCTATATGTGAATATAGTGAAACAGCTTTTCTCCAAGCGACAGGTCTGCGGCTATTCATTGGGTCACAGCAGCTCAATTCACTATGTAAGGAAGAATCTTCCAGGCCCTTCGTCGTCTTCTTCCCCTAGAACGTCCTCTACGGTCTCTCACTCTTCCTAATCACCAGGCTAACAAATATTTCGAACGATACCTTCAGTTTTTCGCCCTAATGGACCGTAACTTGCCTCTTGGCACCTACTTGACGACGAAAAGGGTTGCAAATGAAATCTCTCTCATTTTCATGTCCTCCTGCATTATCCAAGACAGCCTATTTAGATACCGACAAGAGAACGCTTACAGCTCTTGAGACTGCTCTCCGTGATCTGACAGCCGAAAACGGGCAGACTGTCAGATGGCACGATCGGCTAGAGGAGTATGACCTCGCGCACACCGGTCTTCCCTCTCTGATGCATTGACACCACACGCTTCGTCGTACCAGGGCCCCTTGCAACCTTCTGTGATGATATTATTTCACGCATAACTTGTTACCCTAAGTTCTTATCACAGGGGAGTGCAATCAGATAACGGAAGAATCCTCACAGGGCCGACGCCCTACAGGTCCGGCCTTCAGCTTCGCTGGCAATGACCGGCCAGTATCTATGGGCTTTCTTTTTCTCATCTCCACACCTCCCTCAGATAGTACTGGCGCTCGGTTTAAGTCTCCACTCTTCATTGTTCAAACTTAAAGATCTTTATCTACATCTATCAGGGGTATATGGAAGACACCATAGACATCGCGCCAGAAACGAAATATGTGATCAGGGCAGAGTTAATCGAAAATATCAGCGCTCTGACTTGAATTTGAAACGTTGACAGCGCAACCTGGGCCTGTCCTTGGCTTTCCGATCTGGAACGCCTTCAAGAGTTGCTCGACGCTATTGAGGGATCTCGACGTAAAGAGGATCACAGAATTGTGATTCAGCTATCTTGTCGCGTCACCTCATCTCGGCATTATTCCGCTGTTTAGTTTCGCTCGGTTACTCCTTTATTCCCACCGTTTGTTCAGAATGATTCCCCTTTGGTCTGCCGGAAGGAAGCCGCCTGTTCCGAATCTACAGATGAACTAAACCCGCCCTATCCCTGCCTTCACGGTGGTAAAAAGGCCATGGAGTCTGGATCGAACGAATCCGCAGACGCACCGCCCCAGTGGAACAAAACGGCCTAATCCCTCAATCTGCGCTTTCTGAATATTCTGACATGGCCATTTGACCCTGGGGAGATAGGCTGGCTATCCTTCGGCGTTCTTGCTTTCCGTCGCGCTGCTCTTGGAAAACCATTAGCTATTCGAATGTCAAGCAGCACAGCGACAAAGTCAATGGCGATTTTGACTCTCCGGATGCCATGCCTGAACGGCGTATTTTCCGCGAAGAAAAAATCGTCTGCAAGGCGCACCACTCACCATGGAAACCCCACAAAGGAGGATAAGAAGCGATGGATAACGTGAGTGGGTGGCAATACAGCTATGTGAGGCCATTAGAGAAACTACCTCGGTATCTCTCGAAGAATTGATTGAGATGGCGCAGGTGGTCCTGAGATGCCCCTGCGATATCGACGGATAAATATTTTCTCGGTTTCCCCTCTATGGAAATACTCGTTCAGAATGTCAAGGCGTTCGACATGACGGATGAACAATATCTAATGGCGTGCATTGGATATTGGGTACTTCTATCCCAACATGCCTTCGTCATGGGGACGTAAGGAACCTGTCGAGCATGACGGCAAGGCCTACTCTCGAAACGCTCAGGCGTTCTGCAAAGGTCTTTGCGTAGCATCGATTGCACGAGACGCAGTCACTATGACCCAGAATACGGATACTCTCTTCCGCGGTGAAGGAGCGAAGAACCGGTGAAGCAGATAGTAAGCTTCCTAGGCAGCAGGACCTCGGTCAACTGGACTAAGGACCTTCCTCCCTCGTCATATTGATTCAACTGATTGGTCTATTGTTTGTGGAGACATTTGCATCTCTGATAGTGTGAGTGGTGACGCACCTACCAGGGTATTCAGTAGCGTAATATAGACGAACGTTGAATATCTATAGCTACCTTCAGTTTGAATCTGGCATTGCATACGTATGTCTATTTTCTTTTTGACACGATCTGGGAATTAAGCAAGGCCCTAGAATGCGACAGCCAAGCAATGCTTTATCTCAAGCATACGACAAGAATTGCAGGCGGCTTCCGTACCCTGGGATGTTGCCTGACAGCATACGGCCCTGCGTCGCTAGCCTACTAAACACGTCACCTTGCACCTAAGCCATTACATCGAATGCTACTTGATCTAGGCACAAAGGAACATCGTGGCCCAGTGGCCAGTGGTGCAGTACAGTATCCAAATCCGGTTAGTGCCTTTATATGCCCTAGCTAAGAGCTGGTGAAGTCAGTACTAAATCAATCTACCCCTCTCGACTAGTTGAACTACACTGTAATCTAAACAGGCTGCAATGTTTAAAGAGCCCGTCAAGATGCGACGAGGGACTGTCGTGGTCGCCTGCATGGAGTGGAGGGCGGCAACATGACGTGTGGAAGTTCCCCGACTGACGTTGTTATAAATCCAGGTGATGTGCCCTAGCTTACTGGCAACCCCGATCACCCAGGTTCTAGCAAGCCTGAAAGTATATGGACTGGATGCCAGACCATTCATAATGCCGTCAGAATATTGGTAAGCGAATCCCAAGCAAATGCAAATAACTTTGCAGGATCAAAATGACAACAGCAGTACTAATGAAACCCCCATAGCCCCGTCTATGCAGTAAGAGCCCTTTCCCTCTCATATCACCACCCAAGGCCCATTCTCATAACCGAAAGTCGGAGGCATTAACTCTTGTGGATGATAGCCGTTCTTCGGAGCCCTGGGATGCACCAGTGCCATCGTCTTCACTGCCTGTGGGGCAGCCTACGGAACGGCGAAGGCTGGCGTCGGCGTTTGCTCCTCGGGAGTCCTCCGCCCTGACTTGATAGTGAAGAGTGAGCTCTGCGAGACGGGAATCTTTTGTTCAATTGCTAAGAATACCGCCCAGACATCGTGCCCATCGTCATGGCCGGTATTCTCGGGATCTACGGCTTGGTGGTGTCGGTCCTGATCGCCAACAACCTCTCTCAAGAAGTAGCTCTCTACACTAGTCTTCTCCAGATGGGTGCTGGTCTCGCGGTCGGACTGTGTGGACTAGCTGCGGGGTAAGTGAAGCAGGTTCTCCAAGATCAGTTTTCTGCGGTGTTGGCTCTCTTTCTGCGTGGTGGGACTGACACAGAAGGGCTCATTAGGTTTGCGATTGGAATTGTCGGCGACGCGGGCGTGAGAGGCACAGCCCAGCAGCCGCGGCTTTATGTCGGCATGGTTCTGATTTTAATTTTTGCCGAGGTCTTGGGTAAGTGGGAATAGAAATGTCTTATTTCTGGTCCCTAGTCAGGTGTGCTGAAGGAAGCTAATCCAACTGGGTAGGCCTGTATGGCTTGATCGTTGCTCTCCTGATGAACTCCAGAGCAATTGTGACGGACTTCAAATGCAGCTGAGGCAGCCTTCACTTCCTTGTGATCAAAGGGGAAGAAGAAATTAGGGAATGGGAAGCAGCAAACATGACCACGAAATATTCCACCCTCGCTTCACCACTACTGACTTCGATTCCTGTCCGATGGACTATCTCTAATACTGCAGCTAACTTTCGAGATAGGTCTAACATTATTGTACAGTAGAAGTCAAATGTTGCATGAACATTTTATCTAGAAATGGCTTGAAAACAGGACAAGCTCATAACAAGTATCACCAACACAAAGTAAGGGAACTCTCAGGACATGTACTTGTCAAACCATCCCAGCATCCTTTCCGGGTGCTCACCAAAATAGTTGTAGCCATCAAACCGCCTGGTAGTCCCTTCAATCCAAAACAACTCCTTCTCACGAGCCCCGATGCCATCATAGATCGTTTGAATGTCATCAGGGACAACAGACGAGTCTCTGTGGACCTGAGCCACCATGGTTGGCACCGTGACCGCCTTCGTGTACGGAATCGGAGTCAGCTCGTCGATGTGAAGACCAGTCAGATGGAAGATCTTAGTGTCGAAGGCCTCGGCGGCTGCCTTGGGATCCAGGCCCGCGTTCTTCGCGCCAACCTCCACAAAGACCCGGCTGGAAACCGGCTGCAGAGCAATAAGCGCCTTGATATCCTTCAAGTACCCGGGGAATTTGTCGAACGCAACAATCGTGGAGTTGGCGCCCAAGCATCGACTCAGGAGCCCGATCTCCATATGGGCGGTATCCGGACGCGAGCGGGCGTACTGGATCGAGCCCACGACGTCCCGGGCCTCGAACAGCCCAATGCCCACAATACCGCCGGAGCCGGCGCCGCTCCGTCCGTGGTTGCGCAGATCGTAGCAGAGGACGTTGTAGCCAGCATCGTGCAGGGCCTTGTAGTCCTTGATGAAGTTGACTTCGAAGCCGCCGAACATCTCGAACCCGGGGAGGTGGCCCGGGTAGCCGGACCGGTTGCAGGGCATGGGGTGGTTGGCGATGATCAACTTGTTGGAGCCCTTGGCAGGAATGTACCAGCCTTCGAGAACCACACCATCTAGCGATGGGAACCAAACCTCCTCGTATTCGAGGCCTTCCTCGTCCGGCCGACGGAGGATGGGCGAGCGCAAACCGTGCGCGAAGAATTGGGCGAGCGGGCCAGCATAAGCGTCAACATCGGCGGCCTCCATTGAGCATTAGTACACTGCAGCTGTGGTGGCCGTGTTGGAAATCTTTCTTGGGGGCTTTGACTTACGGCCATGATGATCGATGAATTGTATGTGATAATGGATATGGAGATGAAAAGATAGGATGAGAAGCAGAAATCAAGTTATCAGGGTGATTGTATGCTGGAGAGGAATTATGATCGAGTCGGTTCGAGCGTTATATAGTTATAGAGAGTCATTTGCGTCATCCACCTGTTAGCCGGAGATAGGAGGATATCACCGACATGAACGGTCTTGGCGACTCTGTAAGCGAGAGAGGGCGTCTAAGCTACAAATCAGGGTCCAGCTTGCAAGCTGATTATGTTTGAACAGGTGGATCCCCGAGTAAGCCGACTCCGAAATATTTCGGGGTGGAGAAAGTGAACATCTCGGCATTGGACTTGAGCTCCGGCATATCAGCGGAGACTATGTGGGCCAGGGACAAAATACAACATACATATTTTTGGTCCTTCACTACCGAGTCATGAAGATCAAATATGACTAATCAATCTACTTCTGAAGACTACAACACTCCTGGACCGATTCCGTTAAGGGCTGATGGAGAAATCCTTCAATATACCCTTGTTGGAACTGGCCGTGCGGCGAGCTGCCACGTGACTCTCATCGCACTGGTGGCCAGGTTCAACTCTTTCATTCACCTTTTCATACTAGGTACTAGGACTGTACCACCCTACTATTCATGGGTTCTTGATTAGGTGGCCTTGAGAGCTCACCGCTTCGCGCACCATGGGATGCCTGGCAGTCGACCTCGGAATGCTTCAGCCTTACTCGGAATTCACCGTCTTCAACGCTATCATCAAGCAATATCTACTGGACCCTGAGTAAGTCAATAAAGATTTCTTTGACGGAAGAACCCAAGCAGACAAACATACTCATGTGCACGGGTGCATAGAAAAAGCATATAAAGTCCCAAAGCTCACCTCAATACGCGAGAAGCTTCACCCCAAACCACCCCCACCGCAGCCACAACAACCACAACAACAATGCCCTTAATACCCGGCGAGCTGATCCTCCAGATTATCGACTGTCTCTTCCCTTCCACTTCGCGCAAGATACACTCCCCGAGCGACATTGTGACACAGACCTTGCTCAGTCTCACCCTGGCATGCAAGCTCACTCACCACCCCGCGCGACGACTGCTCTTCCAGCACTGCCTTTACATCGACTCGCGGGAGCGACTGGACCAGCTGGTGGACGAAAGCGGGTACTTTGGGGGAAACAGCGAGACCACCACCAACGATCAAGCCCACCAGTCTCCGCAAATTCCGTCTTACTCGCTGTACCTGGCCCCATTCCCGCTCGATCAGCTCGATGACGCCCACACAGTGCACCAGGTTGACCGACTGCTCTCGCAGGTCGGGGCTACCCTCCGAAGCCTCGTCATCGACATCCCACTCCGATATCTGTGCCCAGAAGACGACGTACATGGCCTCCGCGCAATCCTCCGCGCCGCGTTCTCCCACCTCCCCGCGCTGGAGGATTTCTGCTCCGTCCAGGACGAGCTCTACCTAGAAGCGGGGGAGATCATCGAGGAACCCCCCGTATGGCCCACCTGGCCGCGCCTGCGCCGCCTCGCACTGTACAACGCCTGCGTGAACGGTGAATTTGTAGATAGTCTGCTACAGTGCTCGTCACATCTCACGCATGTGGTTCTCACGCGACCCGATTGCTACATGGACGAAGCGCTGCCCTCCGGCGTGGCGGATCGTCTCCCATGGCCAGGGTTGCAACGGGTGCTGGTCGTCAACACCAGGGAGGACCACCTCCGCGACGCTCGTAACCGCGACGACTATCTTCCAGCAGCCCTAGGGCAAACCAGCTTCTGGTCCCGGCTGCACCTCGCCCAGCAGGCTTCGAGACGGACCGATGACTCCGGAGAAGGGGTGGTCGGAGGGGCACGAATAGCCTACGCGGACGTGCCTGTACCCTCGGGGCAAGGAGGGGGGGACGATGATATTCCTCTGTCACAGGAGTGGGTTTGCGCGCGGGCAGTGGATGGAACATTGTGGGAGTTTCCGGGATTGCCATATCCCGACCAGTATATGTAAAAAAGGGGAGATTCCGTTGGAAGCAACCCTAGGGATCTTGTTGTTGGACTCGATGAATAGCAACCTGGAAACTCAAATTCAAGATATCTTCCCCGCCTACAAGCTCAACACACGATAACCCTCATTAGGACCCTACCGGTGACCGAAAGAAAGAAGAACAAAGAACAAAAACAGCGAATCAAAGAAAAGTGAAAGAGAGAAAAAAGAAAAGAAGCAAAACCGGCCATGCGCTGAGCAAATCATCCCATACTACACGAAACACTCGCCCTTCTCCATCCGCAACTTTGACAGTTGCCCAGAATAGCAATACGCCACCCCATCCCGCACGCACAGATAGCTCCTGCCACCCTTATTCCCGCAGTTGTGCGACGCCATTTACCCTCTACTTCTGGCCGGGTGGCAGTGCCCGTTGAATCGCGGCTTGACCCTCTTGATCTTGGTGCAGTTCTGACAGTGGGTTGTCGCGGCGCTCGCGTCGGGGTCGGCTGGGCTCCCGTCCGTAGCATTACTTCCGGCGGCCGGGGGGCCTTCGACGGGCGAGACGTCTTGCAACGCCAGGTCTCTGTTGGGGTCGCAGCTCCTGAGAGGCTCGGCGAGGGAAAGGGAGAGGGAGAGGAGAGAGAGGAGGATGAGGGGTGGGATGTAGGTGAGACGCATTCTGTCTGTGCTGGTTAGGTCTTTCATGCCGAGGGTACAGGAAGCAGATTAAAGCGAGTATAGCATTGAAAGAGCTCATACTTATCGCACTGGGTCCACAATAGTATCAAGTCAAAAGGTCAGTGAGGTTGTTTGTGCCGTAATATATCTTTCAATCAGTTTGGTCGCTTGGTCTCCAGCACCCTTTAGCTGGCACACCATGTGGCCTTTTATACCTGCCCCGAGCCGCCAAACATCCATTTTATGTATCCTTTCCCGAGGCATGGAAAGTGCGAACAAAGTATCAGAAAAGGAGAATCCGGGGCAGCAAAGTTTGCTTAACCTACAGTTGTTCAGCTTCCCATCGGGACTATGCCTTAGCCGCACATCTGCAACTATGTAGTGATGTGATTGGGTTGGGCAGAAAGATCAAACGATGAGACAAACAGTGGGCACTCGGATGGCTTCTACGACGGGATACTGAAACAAGCAGGATAGAGAACCTTAATTCGCACTTACCGATGCGCTGCCGTTTGCAATGCTGACTGCTCCTCTAGCACCCACGTTCTGTGTCAACGCTTGCTTCAATACTAACGTTATGTACAACTTGCATTACGGGGACAATGACATGAAAGAATGCCAAGCAGGCAAATCAGGGGATTCTGGTCAGCGGTGTTGGTCAGGTTGGTCCGTTTGGACTATCATGCCGTTGCGAGACACGCGGCGTTGACTACGTCAGAGGCAGACAGCGAAGAGCAAACGAAGGTGACCTCACCTAGGAAATATCGTGTTTATGACTCCCGCCCATCGGCCACCAATATCCATGGCCATTCCTTTTGACGTGAACACTAGAGTCCCCTTCCTAGTTCCATTTCCGGCGTCTCTCAGACGACAGAACCCCGCTAACCATCTGTTTGGACCCATTTCCCAGCTTTGCAGAAGAGAACCAACGCAGAACACCAGCGTCAAAGTATGTCAGAGACAGCCGAGCTCACCCCGGAGCTACGCATTACCGACGAATGGCCGTGGGACACGGGCTGTGCTCAGTTCATGGTTGTGAAGCTGCCAGACGAGGCGTACAGGGTCGTGGTCCGCGACTGGATGTCCTTAGTCGAGAGCGCCATGAGACTGTGGGTCGACGAGCGGCAGCAGCAGCCCGACCTTCTCGATAAGCGCATGGCGCTGATGGTAGTCTACCCGGGCCGCCGCGTTCACTTCCTGGTCGAGCCCCTGCCGAACATAATACCTGTCCTATTCCGTTATCATGGCCGCCGGGAGTTCCGCTTGGATGAGGACGACATCGACAACTGCAAAGCGGCATGGCTCACCGTGGCTCGTTTCATCATGAACGGCGAAGGCGAGATCGTCTGAGGAGCCGTGGACTGGACAGCTTGTTGGAAAGTGTGTGTGGTGGCTGTTGGAATGCAGAAGAAGAAGAAGAAGAAGAAGAAGAAGAAGAAGAAGAAGAAGAAGAAGAAGAAGAAGAAGAAGAAGAAGAAGAAGAAGAAGAAGAAGAAGAAGAA